GCTGCCTGCTTAGAGCACTGTTAATTGAGCCCATTCTATAATATTGTGAAGAAGAAGAAGAAGAAGAAGAAGAAGAAGAAGAAGAAGAAGAAGAAGAAGAAGAAGAAGAAGAAAAGAAAAAAACGCCTCTGACCATATATATGACAACACACAGTCACACAAGAATGCTGTGCACCCCATTAGACACGTGGGTGAGACAGGAACTCTGTTGTGGTTGCTCTCCATGACTCAGCCAGTTTTCCTTGTTCAGACCCCTCGGGGCTTCTGGTTCAAACCACAGAGTATGGCGGGGTGCCGGCGAAGCATGCGCTTGGCTTGTTACTTGAGCCTCCGTTGAAATGGAGACAAAGGAGTTGTGAGGGACAGGGACAATCTCAAATGACCCTTCTCATTGCACTCTCGAAGGTGGAAAGCTGATATCTGAGAGCAGCCAGGTGACAGGAATGGGGGACTGGAAGCCTGTCATATATGTAGGCACTGGAGACATGAGGCCAGAGGACCAGACAATGGTCTTTATATAGGACACTGGTGTCACCATCCACCCCTCTTGTTCATGCTTGTGTACTTCCGTCATGCTGGTGTAGATGTGAGACTCTTCCTGGAAGTCTCCCAGGAGTAGAGCATCCCTTGGGAGCTCAGGCATGATGGGATGGAAGAGACAGGATTGCTAATGGGCAGTATTTGACTCATGAAGCAGCCAAGAAGCAAAGGAGCCCAGGCCTGACCATGAGCTGGGATACGCTCCTTCATGTGGGAGGGCTATCCCTGCTACTGGACTCAGCAATGGAAAAGGCTCTCTGAACCAGGAGGTGATGGTGCACGGCTTTAATCCCAGCACTCAGGAGGCAGAGGCAGGCAGATCTTTGTGAGTTCAAGGGCAGCCTGGTCTACAGTGTGAGTCCCAGGACAACTAAGGCTGTTACACAGAGAAACCCTGTCTCAGGGGGAAAAAAGAAAGAAAGGAAGAAAGAGAATGTCTCTCTGGATAGGACAAGTGCTGGGTGCATGTGGTCCTCTCCACAGCGGTCGCCTCCCTTTGGTCCCCTTCTTCTCACAGACCTATCACTCACCTTCCCATCACCCACCACGCAGTGGGAGACCTGGAGGCTGCACAGACTCCAGGTACCACTAGAGTGATCAACTGAGGGAATTATCTAGGGCAGGCCAGAGGGGAGAGAGGGGAAGGGACAGGCCTGGGTCCATTCGGCCGTTAGTCACCTGTAACGTTCATCACGGAAGCGAGCCTGGGTGATGCCACCGTCTGTAGGGCATGGGCCAAAAACTAGAGTGTCCCATGTTAAAGCTCAAACACCCCCGCTGTGGAGAGCAAGGCCAGCGTGGAAACTGACCTGTCAGGAGACTCACGTCTGCACACAGTGTGGCCCCAGAGAGATGCAGGGTCCCTGTTTCTCCTTAGGGAGCTGAGAATTAACTGCTCTGTCTCCCAACTCAGAGGAAGAGAGGTCTCCAGCTAAAGCTCGGCTTAAACATTAACACAGAGTCTCTTGGTGTTTTGACAGGTAACTCATTAACTATTAAGTCAAGTTGAAGTCCCTGCCTCCTCTGAGGTTACTCATTAATGCCTGTGAACTCTGTCCCAGTACCTGGTTGACAGGACCACCTGTCACTGGAAATGGCCCTTTCCTCCACCAGTGTGATGGTCGCTGTGGTCAACGGACAGAATCCAGAACCACCCGGAAGAGAGTGCCCCGGGGCCTTGCTTTAGTTAATGAGGTAAAATGCATCTTAATTGTGGGCGGGGCAGTTCCCAGGGTAGGGGAGTCGATGGAGAAAGCCAGCTGAGCATTCCTGTAGCAGGTATCACCCCTGCTTATCAACTGTGGACACGATGTGACTTCCCACCATGACAGGCTGCTACCTTGAGCTAGCTCGGATAAAACCTTCATCCCTTAAGATGTCTTGGTCGGGCTGTTTCATCACAGCCACAGGAAAAGTAACCAAAACCACCAAGCAAGGACCCTCCATCTGGTTGACACTTCCCAAGAGGCTGCCTGGCCTGCCCTCCCTTTACAGACGTTGGCTTATTAAAAGTATATTGTCTTCCTCCAGTTTACGGGTGAATGGAGGTCTTCCTGTCCCAAACCCACCCTCCTCCATCTCACTGGGCACTTGAAACGTGAGTAAGTTTCATAACAGGCTTAGTCGAAACATTCTTAGGAAGGACGATTTGAGACACTGTAATAATATTTTGATAAAAATTAATGACTGTGACAGTAGTGACATTTCTCTGAGTAACAAGAGAAGCGAACGTGTCTGCCGACGTCTGCTTAGACGGGATCTTTGTTCACGGATCGTCTTGGGGGC